GATGAAGGTGGGGGTGGGGTGTTGGAAGTTGTATTTGGCTAGACTTGAGATACATTGTAAAAGTAGAGCTGATAAGATTTGCTCAGAAATAAAATACGGATGTGAAACAAAGGCCGTCAACGCTCTGGTTCTGATAACTGGCAGCCATTTATTCTTGCGCGGTTGTCTGGGGGCGGGTAGCTGCTCTATAGTTAATCTCTGTCTTATATAGTAAGATTTTCAAGAAGGGAAGAATGTGCCTCATTTTGTGAGGCTTATGAGATCTTGATACTAAATCCAGTACAAGAAGACAAAACCTTCTGTAGAATAATCTTACTCTCAGCGTTAAAGTGAAAACCCTCAATGGTAGGAATGATCTACTGTAGTCATCAAATTTCGTATCAAATCTTTACATGCAATTTCCTTTAAAATTAGAAGAAGACATGTATGCCTGGGTGTAACTTCCACACATCAACAAAGGATAGGAAGTCCTGGTCAATGTGTTAATACTGGGACAGAAGAAGATCAAATGGCTATGAATATTGATCATAATGCCATGCATGGGAAACCTAAGAAAACCAGTAAGCAATTAAAGCAAATTTGTTGAATATGAAATCAATATGCAAAACCCAACAGTGTTCTTATGAGTAAGAAATAACTTAGTAGAAATATGGTGGGAGATACCTTTCATAATTGCAACAAAACCCATACTGAAGATGAACATGAATAACAACAAAACAAAAACCCCCAAGATTTTACAGAAAGAAAAGAAAACTAATAAAGTACATACTAGCAAAACTAAAATCAAACAAACAAAAAACCTAATAAATACCATGTTAAAAGCCTGCCTTCCCTTTATATGGTTACTTTTAGGGGTTAATCACTAGATTCGATGCAATAAAAGTCAAAGCCTCACCAGAAAGCTTGTTTATCTTAAATTTTTGCTTTAAAGTTTATGTGCAAAAATATTCACAAAGAAAAATGTTAAGAAGTCTAAAAGGAAGATATATCTGATATCAAAGCATATTATGAATGAAGGAAATCTGTGTTGACAAAACCAACAGAAGTGGCAGTCTGGGAGGAAACATAATTAAGTTTTTAAAAATACAAAGGAATGTTTGCAATTCACTAAAGTCAGGTTTGAAAATGAAGTACAAAGCAAAAAAATATGAAAATAACTCTTCATAATTAGATGAAATAGAAAGTCATAAGTATGAAGGCTAGGAAAGTAGAAAATATAGTAAGAAAAGAAAAGGCAGCGGTGTGAATAAAAAAATCAGAAGAGGGAAATCCAGTGGAATAATAACCAAAACGTGCTTTATTTCACTGGCAACCAAATAAATATAAATTAAAATAAAAATGAAACCAGGCAATCTGAAGCAGGAGGATTGCCTGGAGCTTGAGACCAGCTTGGGAGGCAAAGTGAGTCTCGCTGTCTTAAAAAATATAAAATAATGGTAATAATAGCAAATAAACAAAAAGGATATTCTATTTACCATATGGAAACTGTTAAAATTGACAAAGTCATAAACTAACAAACACTATTGAGAACATGGGGAATCATGACTTTCCCATGCTGTGGAGAAGTTTAAAAAGAAAGTTACTACCTTTCTGAAAAGCAACCTGGCCATACTTAGAACAGGTAGGAATACATACATGTGGGACTGGAGAGATGGCTCACTGATTAAGATCATGTACGGCTCTTGCAGAGGATCTGAGCTCAGTCACCAGAACTCACATTAGGTTGCTCATAACTGCCTGTAACTGTAACTCTAGGGGATCCAGTGCCCTCTTCTGGCTTCTGTAGGCACTTGCAATCACACACACACACACACACACACACACACACACACACACACACACACACACACACACACACACAGAGTTATCTCATAGCATATATG